GACGACCTGTTGTCTGGCCCTTGTCTTCTGTCGTTATAGTAATAGTAGTAGTGTGACGGAAGAACAGAAAATAATTGGTAACGGGCTATACTAAATGAGGAAAAATGCACCATATTTATACACTTTTGGCCATTATTAAATATAGTCGGCTAGGTCAGCGAACAATAAATTGTTCTGATTGGTTGGTATTTGGCCCAAGGTCAAACCTTCAGATGAAAAGTTGGCCAAAGTGATTATTTCCCAACCACAACATAAGCTAAATCCAGATTTGGAGAATAAAAACTATTACCTCTTCTGTAGACATTGACTTAAAATGATGTTTTCAATTTTTAGCCAAATTTATCTGTGAGTATCTATATACTACTGAAAAATGTTGTCAGCAGCACACACCACATCATAACTTCTACTGCATATTCTTATTCCTGTGAATTGCCGAAAGCTAAGTAATGATACAAGCTTCAGACACTTCAAACGACTAAAGATGGCCACTTAATAGTATAAGTTCAATTAAATATCCCTCAATAATTTATTAAAAATAAAAGTGATTAAAGAGAGTGAACAATTGTGATTTCGCCCTAGTTTGGGACTCTTCAACAGTACTCACCCATCGCCGCCAGGATTCAAACCCAGGACCTTCTGGTTACAAAGCTAGCGAGCTTGTAGACCATTAAGACACTGGAACTCGATCCAATGGCCCATGAATTTCTAATGGTTCTCTAACAGATGTCAGCCCATGGTGAAATCCTCCTCCAACCAATCAAACAAAATATCCCTACAAAAACTAATAGCTGAAAATTGTGATTTCAGTGAGTTTTTGCTCCTTCTGCTTAATGAGTACGTGCTGATACAGAAGATCAAATGGTCTGCCGACTAGAAAGAATAAATAACAAGGAATTCTAATTGGTGAATGGTGACTAGCAGTGTGGAATCTAGGATAACGCGCATTTCTTCCCAATTTGGGACTCGTCACCTATCAGATGTACTTGCATTCCACAGTGAGCGAGTGATGATGTTCCCATCACCAAGGCTCAAACCCAGTGCTCATAGTTTCAAGCGTCAAAGCGTTACCCACATGACCACTTGGGCCACGAGAGCCCCATCCTATGCACCAGAACTTCATTCTAATCAATCGACAGGAAAATCTAAAATTCAATTAAACACGTAATTCTATCAGGCAGCGAACTAACTGAAACAACCTATTAAACAACCCGGAAAATATTCACAAAGAAATTGAGATGGATTGGATATAGGAGCTAAGAAGACGGTTGACTGACGTGGCATATCACTCAGATCGTTGAATACAACCAAAAAAGGAAACGATGAGTTGAGTGCGAGTTGGTTTAAAGGTTTATATGGGGAAAATCAAATGAATAGGAAACAGAAGGGATAGAATCTTCAAGGAACCCTTGATCTAGGTTTCGTAATTTTCAGTATTTATCATCAAGGCGTATCTGTAACTTTGACAGAACTCATATCCCCTTTGAGATTCGAATGCGCGTGTCTGTTTTCATCAGTACCAAACAGCATGAAGCCTAGATCAATGACCTCGGGCCAATCACCTCCAAAAATCTAAAAACACCAATTCGAAGTGCACCGTCATGGTGAGACACTTCACTTGATAACCTAATTGTACACATGACTGATATAATTCTCTCTTTTTTGTAGGGAGATTGGATTTATTACAAGTTTTATCACTCAGTGATATCATTTTGAAAACCATTGAAAGCCATCTAGGGAGTACAAGGACAGTTGTTTTATCCTAGTTTGGGAATCATCTTCAATACGCACCCAGTGGTTTTCAGAGATTCTCTAACTGATATCAATCTGTGATTAGACTCGTAAAAACAAATCTAATCCCAGCCGATAACTGCTACCCTGTCGTGGTGGTCGGGCTTGAATACCGTAATAACCCAACATGCTAAACTGACTGGGACTCTGTCCCTCTGCAGGTCCTAACATGTCAGGAAGGTTGTTTGGATAGAGGTTAAACTAAAAGCAGCTACCATGGGGTACATGGGCTCCAGTATCCAATCGGATAAAATGGCGTATGAACCCATATGGGTCACCGGAAACCATGGGAATGCAGCTCCTGACGCTGCTCCACTGCCTTGAGGATTAGACTCCAAATCAAAGGCTCGGGGGGGGTGATCCCTTAATAAAACCACCTGCTTCGGTCTGGGCACCTGGGCAGTATCTCAGCCCTCACACAATGAATTAAATGAAGCAACAAACTTATCGCGTGTAATTGCACGTGTTGCGATTTCCTTCTTTCTTCCCTTCCCGATGATAGTTAACGAATACTGTTTGAACTTGTTAAGAATGACTGTTTTCCTTCAAGATGAAGTTCTTTATCCGTTCTCTACTTATATATATTTTTCTTTTGATCTATGTTGTTTTACTATTACTGTGTGGCGCATCCTTCTTGGTGCCATACTGTACCAAGTTTTATGCGTTTAAATAAATAGTAATAAAATTGTAAACCAACTTTTGAAAATTGATCTGATGCTCTCTAGTGATTTGCTACAGGACGGAGTTTCCTGGAGTTCTAGTGAGAAGTCGTTACCAGCAGTCGGGTCCATCCAGTCAAGTGTGCGAGGATGGATGTCCCACCGAAGACACTGAGTGATGGTCACACTAAATCACGAATTTGTAGAAGTAGTTAGAATTCATGCATGGGCTAGCCACTGAATCTGGTCCCTGTAGCTGAATGGTATACAGGCTAGCTTGCCTTGTAACTGGAAGGTCTTAAATTCAAACAATGGCAGTGGGTCCGTACTTCCAATGATTACCCAAACTAGGCTGGAGAAACAGCTGTCCAGTACTCCAGTTCTAGTTCTCCAGTAGTTCTCTCACTGATATCAATCCGTGGTCAAACCTGTAAAAACAAAACTAATCCTTACAAACCAACACTTAAAAATATCAGTCTGTCACAAAACCTGAAATAAATCAAATCCCCACGACAAACTAACTCCCAAAAATTGATTTGACACTCACTGTTGATTAACTACCCGCAGAAAGAAGTTGACTGAAGTTCTAGTGAGAAGTCATCACCGTAAGTGTGGTCCGTCAATGTCAGGAGTAAGGGCAAATAGTCACCTATGGTAATGACTGGTGCTAGTGCTATAATCCCCACTTAGTAGAAGTTAGAATTCATAGGCTAGCAATAGGCTACGAGCTTAACTTGTAAACTGAAGGTTCTGCATTCGAAACCTGGTGGGTGAGTTCTACTGAAGAGTTTTACCAGTATGCCATAGCTGACCTTACAAATTAACTCTCATTCGAAATAATGTTAAAAAACCAAAGTGAAGTGGTCACTTAGCGTGTTGATCACTTCACTTATTTTAAAAGTCGAATCAAAATGATGAGTAAACTGCCACCTTCCCGCTCTTTTCTATTCTACGGTCAAGGTAGAAATAGCTACTATACCTACTTCTTTTTGTAAACACAAAAATGTTTGGCTTACATTTATGAATAGTCAAGACCTCCATTTTCTTTAACGTTCAAAACGAAGAAAACATGGCAAGTTGCCATGAAGCTGATAGATGATCTTAGAATCATTTTGAGGGTAGGTTGAGTGACGAAGTTGATCAAGTGTTCCAGGATAGAGCTTCTCACATTCTTTTCCTATTCCCTTGTGAAATCATGTTGGAATGTTTTGACTGGACAGTAGTTAATGACTAGGGTAATGTCTCTAGTCCTTCGTTTGATGCAGACTGAATTATACCATTCAAGTTTGTAATGTGGCCACCATACCACTAGGTGGCCCCCATTATGGTGCACTGTGAAATGTGGGTATTAGATGGTTGGAGGTAATCGACAGGAAGCCTTAAAGTCAGGTTTTGTGCTAGTTAGCAATTGATTGGTAGAATTCAGTCTGTACCAAAAAGTGGAGTAGACACACTACACTAGTTACTAACTATTTTCCAATCAAAGTACCCGATACAGTCCTACAGGAAGTCAAACGCTAGTCAACCCGAATAGCTTCTCAGTGGTAACGTCTCTGACTTCAGCACTCAGTGGGTGACAAAGTTTCGAATCTCAGAAGAGACATGAGTTCTTTCAAGGTTCCAGATAAAACTTTCTGACTGCTGAGTACAAACTAGCACGAAACCTAGGCCAATCAAAGCTTCCATCTAACATGCTGGAATGGGCTTTCATATCCGTGTGGAAAGTATTCATTGGCTGTAGAATACGATTTCTTAACAATCGCATATTTTAATATAACGAAAATATTCATTCAGGCATCTATAAAAAGCCAAACAATTAAGCTAGTAATATCAATTTCGATAATTTCCTCTCCTTCTGGCTCTACAATCACATATATATGTGTTTATATACATAGAATATTCTAGATTAGTAGTCAATATTATTAGTGTTCTATTGAATAATATCGACTTGTTAAGTAAGATCACAATGGAATTACCACAGTTCATTAAAGATGCATAAATTATAATAATAAAAATATAATAGCACATAGAATATCAACTAAAATTAAGGAAATTTCTACAAAAAACTGAGGATCATTCAAACCTAGATGGCCAAGCGGTAAGGACAATGTCTGAATCAACTAGCTTCTTCTTTTGAACACATATATTAGACTTCTTAATGTGGATCCCAACAGTCAGCCTCAGCAATATTTAGTAATCGAGCTCTTAAACCGGAGTCAAGTTTTGTTGGTTTGCCGTAAATGACTTTGAAAGCTGCCTGTTTACCATCAGTTTTGTGTTCTGTATCCACAAGATGAGATAGAATAGCGCTGTGAATAGATTTTGTTTGTCCCTTACTTAACCACTCTGCAGGATGATGTTCTCGGAAATCCGACGAGAAACACTCCTAATCATATATTTATACGATTGATAACGAATTCATTGAAAATAATCTTTTCACTAAAAATATATATTGTCTTATAAAATTATTCAAATCGAATGTGTATTCTAATATGTGTCGAGATGTGTTCCTTTTTCTTTTCATGAATTACAGGGGTACCACCAAGTTCTGATATGGAAATAAAATGTTTGACAGTGAAATCACCACTAGAGATGTGGAAAACTGTTTTCTGCAATAAATTCCCTCAAGTAATTGCTTATTTATTTATTTATTTTATTGATATTTTTCACACTTTTTATAGCCTCTAAGCTTTCATTTCTAACTGCACCTAATTTTCACCCCCGCTTCTCCTCACCGCTGACAACTTAACTGTTCTGTTTCACCTGAAATCAACTTGAAGCTTCGAAGTCTGTTTTTCATAGTCGTCGATGGATGGATGTATTATTGTGTTGGTTGGTTCATCTAGGAGCCGGGGTGGGAGGAGAACACCCTCCTGTTTTTGATGTGGTTTTGTTCTCTGAGCTGGATGGTTAGTTTGCGAAGCTTTCATCACCTTACTGGGTGACATCTTCAGCGCATACTTCAATTTGAAGTGAGTTTTTAGATTTCTCCACGAGTTTATTAATCATCTCTTCTGGTGGTCACCAGGAGAGATGATGATGTCACCCAGTAAGGTGATGAAAGCTTCGCAAACTAACCATCCAGCTCAGAGAACAAAACCACATCAAAATCATCCACCTGAGCTACAAATCTTCTCTATAATATCTACACCCTCCTGTGTTTGCACCACAGAATGAGGTTGTATATAGTACAGGTCTTGCAAAAGTCTAGGATGAGTGTTAGTTTGTTCATTAGATATATCACACAGTGAGTGAAACAGTATGATTTACTGGATGACAATGTTTTGAACACAATTCATTGTTGTTCACAATCATATCATCAATTATAATCATACGACTTTGAAACTTGAGTTTTATAGTTTTCTTTGTCCTCTCCTATTTGTCGTCGTTGGGGTAGTAGAATTTTCCGGATATCCGACTGAACATGTGTTGAATCATTCCTGTTACACGTATTTGCAGTTGATTCGATAAACAAAGCTTCCGTTATCTCTCTCTCCCCCCTCGACCCTGTTACATTAAATTTTAAAACTGTCATCTTATCCCATCCTATTGTATGGTTGTGTGTAATTACATGTGATGAGTGCTGTAGCTATCCTATTCTATAGATTTCTTATCTTATTTGGGTCAACCAATCTAGATTTTGCTGCTAGGTTTTTGTGCTCTGCTAGTCTAACTGTCCCTGTTCTACTACTTTGACCTATATATTTAACCTGACAATATTTCCAACAGGGTATTAGGTGAACTAAATTGTCTTGGCTCCATAGAATCCTTCAACCGACAAAGATTGTTTCTAATTGACTTTGTGGTTGGTTTGAATGCCAGCTACTTTTATTCCTGCTTTGTTAAGAATTCTGCATAAGGTGATTTCTGAGATTCCTTCTTTGTGGAGAAGTACCACTAATGATTTAGATTCCTTATTGTTGATGTTGTCTTGTGCATGTTTGACATGCACGTCGTCATTAATATTATTATCACTATCACTACTATTATTATTTATTTTATTTTTACATTTCCGTATATATTTCCTGACCAATTTATCATGGTAATTATTAAGTTTCATAGCTTCTCCTCTTATATGCCTCACTTCCTGTCTTACATTTTCCTTAGTACTTCTTAGTTTTTGTGCTCTATCACTTAAACATTTCACCAATCCTATTTTCACTGACATAGGACAGGTCGTATGATTATAATTGATATGATTATGAACAGCAATAATGAATTGTGTTCGAAACTGTGTGATCCAGTAAATGTGATACTGTTTCACTCAGTGTGTGATACATCTAATAAACAAACTAATATAGAATTACTTACTGCCACAGTGCCCAAGTTTTTCACATATATTACTAGGATGAGTGTGTTCAGTCTTGCTGAAAAGCATTTTATAGTAACACCTAGCCAATGGATGTGTCATTATATAAAAACTGATAAGTATTTTCAAACACTTGGAACGACGTGTGTGTACTGCACAATAGTTCGTTCTATCCTCCTTGATGATGACTATGAGATATGGTCACTGAAAGAGAGAAATTGGCGTTGATAATAGACATTTACGAATTTGACCACGGATAAATATCAGTTAGAGAACCATTGAAAACCAGCACTGGAGTACTGGACAGCTGTTTCATCAGCCTAGTTTGGGAATCATCGGCAGTCTGTATGTCTGGATTCAACACAGAACTTGGCACCGAAGTGCGGCGGTTTGACTTGCCACGTTCCAAATAGCACACAAAGGTAGACAAGAAGATGAGTGAAGAGAATCAATAGAGTTTGACAAGTATAAGAGTGAAACAGAATGGGTAATGGTAGAAAGGAATATCAAAAATTACTGAGACTGAATACATCTGCACCATTGACAAATATTCTGAGCCATGTCACCTATTGTCTCCAGCCATTGATTCCTAGAGTCAGTCCCGAGGGCCCCAACCCGGAAGTCTGCATCTCCCTACCTGATTGACTCAGTTTAACTGTCAAGGATTTCATGGATTGATGAGGCCATGTTTTTGTTTGGCCACCATTTACTCTTTTCCAACCTGCACCACCTATATCAGCTAGTAATGCCCTTCGTCGGGGGAGGCGATGGTTAGGCATGCGCAGCACGTGACCTAGCCATCTCTGTCTATGTAACTTTATAGCCTCGTCGATTGATTTTCCCTCTTTGCCCAACACTCTACGCCGAACGTCAACATTACTTACCTTACTATACCACCTAACGTGGTAAAGAGATCGTAGACATCTATTATCAAAAACAGTCAACCTTTTCATGTCTTCAACTCATATTGGCCATGTTTCAGAACCATAGACAAGAACGAAACAAACTGCTGAGCACTAACCACCCACTGGTGTTCAAACCCAGGACCTTCCGGTTACAAGGCAAGCGTATAAATCACTCAGCCACTGGGACTTGACCCGATTTAATGGCATGAATTCTAACTACTTCTACCAATTCGTGATGCATTTAGCACAACTGTCACCAACCAATATCATCGGTGGGAAATCCATCCTCACACTTGACTGACTGGTTGGTTGAACCTCACTGGTCGAACTTGTAAAAACAAATTTAATCCTTACAGACCAACTCTTGAAAATAGATATTAACGTTCTGCCTTTGATGTTAAATGGTAAAATATGGTAAGTAATGTTAAGATTATATATGTAAACTGTTAGTAGGTAAGGAGGGAAAATCAATCGATAAGGTTTTGAAATTATATCGATCAAGATGGCTAGGTTACGAGTTACACTCATGCCAAGTTATCAGCTACCTTGACGAGTAATATTGGCTGATATCAAATTAGATTGGAAAAGAGTTAGAGAGAATGATCAAATCCATACCTGGTGTCTATCAGCAAAGTTTTTGACTGGTGGTTTGAACAACTTATGGAGGTGTGAGGAGTGGCTTGGCTTTCATCGTGGAAATACTAAAAACCAATGAATGAAGATTGTTGATGATATGGCTAAAGGTTACTGTCAGTAGTGGAGCAGAAGCATCCACTCTTCGTGTGATCTCCAAGATCCACTTCTTATTATTATTATTATTCCTTTGGGTTCCAAGTGGAACATAGGGCTGGCTTCAACAGCACATCTACACTTTGTTTTGTTTTCTGTCGTCCTCTTAAGCTGGCTAGCCCCCGGATTGACTGTAATCTCTCATCTCCCTCTCCTTCAATTCGCATGACTTCCTCCATGTCACCCTCACACCGACGACCCACTCCACGCTTTCCATTGGGCTTCCATTCGAGGGATGACCTGCATCGAGCGCCATGTCATTCGATTGCCTTCTCAACGTATGCACAATCAACCCATCTCGATTTTCTCCTACATTTTTATTGTGCAATAGACTATTGACTAGTTTGTTACCAGGGTTTGTTGTTGCTAATTCTTTCTGGCTATCCGGTTGGCTGACCATCTGATCTTCAGTATACGGAACCAGCCAGCAAAGTAGGCAGCTGTTAATAAAAGTACATACAAAATCACATATATATATATATATTTTCAAGTACTGGTTTTTGTAGGGATTTTGTTTGATTGCATGGAGGATTTAATCATGAGCTGACATTGGTTAGAGAACCACTGGAAAACCAGTACTGGGAGTACTGGACAGCTGTTTCGTCCTAGTTTGGGACTCTTCAGTAGTACGCACCCACCGCCAGGGTTCGAACCCAGGACCTTCTGGTTACAAGGCGAGCTCGTAGACCATTGAGCCACTGGGACCCGATCCAATGGTCCTTGAATTCTAACTTCTGCCAATTCACGACATAGCGCGACCACTTCGTAATGTCTTCTTCGATGAGTTACTGCCTCATCTTCAACCTGCTATATATATATATATATTTGCGATTGTACAGCTAAGATAGAAAATGAATTCGCCACCGAAAAGACAGACTCTTCACTGAACTATGTGTTTTGTTTTCATTAATACCCTGGATGGGGATTATTCATGAATTTTCAAATTCTCATTTATGCATTCATAAAAAACATTTTTTGCTATTCTTTTTTGTTATCGCTCACAAATGATCCAGAAACTTGAGACAACATCATTACGTCATACGAAACAAGAGACAACTGGTATCTTCAATCCAAGTAAAGATCCTCAATATGCTGAATCATTCATTGATACAGCTCGAAAGGCAAAAGACAATGAACTGGAAGAGAAAAGACGTCAAGCTGAACGAAAAATGTATAATTTACTACAACAAGTCACCTCAGAAGGATTACTTATTGCTTAGATTATATATATATTATTGGTTGGGTTACTTGCCCTCCTTCAATGAGTTGTTGTCATTTTTCCCTGTATACTCTTTTTATTGTATTATATACACTGAATTCTTTAAATAGTTGATTTACTGTACAGTATGTTCTTGAAATACGTATTGTTTTTTGCTCTTTCTTGGGAAGATTGTTATTCTGATAAAACTGTTATAACAGATTGTTGGTCATTTCAGGTGTTAAATATAGAAAAAAATCCCCATTTGCACGTTTAGAAAACAGAAAGATTGAGCGAGTGAAGAAATATTTACTTTTTTCAATTAGATCCTCATCTCACTCTAGCTCTACTCTAATATAAACGCGTATAGCATTATTTTTATTACAATACACAACAGTTTACCAATCATCAAGTGGCACTGATATGTTTGTTAACAATAATTAGTCAGTCAGTGTCAACATGTCAAGCAGTGGGGTGATAATTAACGAATAAAATTAATACACTCAGTTAAAAGTTAGAAATGGTTAGAATAAATTAATTTTACACAGGATAACACGTAAATTAAAGATGAAGTGGTCAAAATAAATAAAACTGAAATAATTTGGACAATTATAATATTTGAATTGAGTTTTTGATTTTCCCGTCGATTGATTGGACCGAAGTGCTCGGTCTCAGGTTGACATGTCGGCTTCTTGTGCAGATGCTTCAACGATGTCTGGGCATTTAGTTAGTATACAATTGATGGATGGTGGCTAGCAGTGGAATCCAGGATGCGCATTTCGTCGTATTTGGGACTCGTCAGCTGGATGTACCTGCATTTCTCGGTGAGTGATGATGTTCCCACTGAGGCTCGAACCCAGTACCCATAGTTTCAAACTCCAAAGCGTTATCCACGGGAAAATCAAAAATTTAATTCAATAATTAACATGACCCGTTGCACAAGAGGTGGCTCTCGTGGCCCAAGTCGTCTAGTGGATAACGCTTTGGCGTTTGAAACTATGGGTACTGGGTTCGAGCCTCAGTGGGAACATCATCACTCACCGAGAAATGCAGGTACATCCAGCCGACGAGTCCCAAATACGACGAAATGCGCATCCTGGATTCCACTGCTAGCCACCATCCACCAATTGTATACTAATTATAATATTTTATAACTTTAAAGGTTTAGGGGAAGGGAGACGAAGTAGTCTGGCTTATACATTCATGTAACGATGGCCAAGGTAAGGAAATTTCTTCTGAACACACAGGTTTGTCATTTTCAGGTGGATTCCTATTGCTTCAGCTGTTGTATGTAGAAGACGTTCTCGTAGAGAAAAATTAAGATTAGTCGGAATGCAATAGATAATTTTAAATGCAGTATTAACATCAACCTTATGCTCACTATCTATAAGGGTGTGCTAAAATAGAGCTATGAATAGATCTTGTTTGTCCTTTGCTTAACCATGTTGGATGATGTTCGGAAATACGATGATGAACCTTCGCAATTGTACTCCCGATGTAGTTGGTTCCGCAGCTGCAGTCAAACTGGTAGGTGTTGGTTGGCAGGAATTTGATTTGTTTTGTTACAGGATATCATTATCAGCTGACATCAGCTAGAGAACTAAGGAGCACTGGACAAATGTTTCGACCCGATTTTCGATTCTTCATCAGTACACACCCACCCCACACCAGGGTTCGAACCTAGGACCCTGCGGTTACCTAGGTTCTAGTGAGAAGTTATGACCGACAGTGAGGTACACAGCAGGTCGGTTATGAGGAGGACAAACACTCGCCACCGATGACATTCATTGGCTAGTGCCAGTCGCGCTATATCTTGAATTGTTTGGCAGAAGTTAGAATTTGTGGGTCGGCCATTAGATCGGGTCTCACTGTCTGCTGAATAGTCTACGAACTCGCTAGCCTTGTAACCAGAAGGTCCTGGATTCGAACCGTGGTGACGAGTGCTTACTGATGAGGACTACCAAAGAAATATGACGAAACAGCTGTTAGTGGTTTTGTTGGTGTTGTTGTTTATGCTGACTAGAATGAACCTCCAGTCACAATACTGCAGTCAATTGATCACTTAGAACTATTCCCCTACACTCAGAGAGACACACAGGAGTTAGATCTAACTGAGACAACCGCAACAACAGCAAAAAATTTATTACTCCCTTGATCCCGACCTAAAAAGAGTAAAAAAAAACTTTATTATGTAAAATAAGTTTATTAGGAAGAAGATAACATGAAGTTCAGCAAAGATGACGGACGATCTTTTCGGCAATTTCATTTTCAAAAGTAGCTGTACAATCGCATTTAAATACATAGATACATAATACATGGATACATAATTACAACGGCGAATAAAAGGTGATAATTATTTTCAACTAGATCTGGTTTATGAGGAAAGGCTTAGATACAAAATTACACGAGATTAGAACAGATAAGAAGTGTGTAAAAAATGAGTATGGAAACAAAAATTGAAATAATAATTTTCAACTTGAGATAGAAGTTGGGAGGTGTGAATATAGACTTCAAAAGCCTTAGAAACACAAAAATTGCACAGGATTAAGATATAATTGTAAAATATAGCAAAAATATTCATTCAGACATCTATAAAACACAAAATAATCGAGCAAAGAATATTCTTTTCGACAAATTCCTCTTCTGGCTCTACAGTTATATATGCATGTTTATATACACAGAATATTCTAGATTAGTAGTCAATAACAATATTAGTGATTTTTAAATAATATCGATTTGTAAAGTATGATCAATGCAGTTACAGTTCAGTAAAAATACTTAAATTATAATAGTAATAAAGATATAATAGCGAGTAGAATATCAACTAAAATTAGGAAATTTCCACAAAAAATTGAGAATCATTCAAGCCTAGATGGCCAAGGTAAGGACAGCGTCTGAACTAACTTCTTTCGCATGCACAAATTAGGCTTGTTTATATGGATCCCAACAGCCAGCCTCAGCAATACTTAGTAGTCGAACTCTTAAGGCGAAATTGAGATTCGTAGGTATGCGGTAAATGACTCTAAAAGCCTGGTTAACATCAATCTTATGTTCTGTATCCACAAGATGAGCCAGAATAGCGCTACGAATAGATTTTTTTTGGCCTTTGCTTAACCACACAGGGTTATGCTAGGAAATTTGACGAAAAGCACGCCTAATTGTGCGGTCTATGTAACCGACTGGTTCCACAGGAGCAGTTAAATTGGTAGATACACATGGATGAGGCGAAATTAGGCAGTTTATCTTTTACTCTCGAACGCAGAAGAGGAGTGGTTTTAAAGGTACAACGTAATTCAGCATCAGGGAATGCTCTTTTTACTGCATTTCTAATGCACTGTGTTAGTATCTCTCTAGTGTTGTCCCCAAGGAACGGCATCTGAAAGAATAAGGCCTTTTTTGGAACTGTTGGTAACTTTGGCTGCTTTGGTTTCAAATTCATATTCTTATCAATAAACTTTTCAGAATAACCATTCTCACTTAGCAACCGTGTAATATAATTCAGTTGAATATTTTGTGTATATAAACATATATATAACTATAGAGCCAGAAGAGGAGTTTATCGAAAAGAATATTCCTTGCTCGATTATTTTGTGTTTTATAATTGTAAAATAGTTCATTTTTAAACGAATTATAAATGTGAGCAAGAAAAGCATGGAAACAAACTTAAAATAACTGTTCTTATAACTGAAAACAGAAATGGGGTGAAGCGAATGAAGACAGGGGGAGTAAGAATCACACACACACACACACAGAGAGAACGAAAAAAGATCCAGGAAAAATTGGAAGCTAAGGGAACATATCAAACTAGGTCTATAGTAGTTGTAGACGTTGGACTAATTTCTTTTGAACACAAAGCTCCGGCTTCTCGATGTATATGGCGAGGGCTTCTGCAGTACAGAGACGTACAGGAAATCTATATTCACACCTCCTAATTTCCATTTCAAGTTGAAAATTATTATTTCAATTTTTGTTTCCATACTCATCTTTTACACACTTGTTATCCGTTCTAATCCCGTGTAATTTTGTATCTAAGCCTTTCCTCGTAAACCAGATCTAGTTGAAAATAATTGTCACCTTTTATTCGCCGTTGTAATTATGTATCCATGTATTATGTATCTATGTATTTAAATGCGATTGTACAGCTACTTTTGAAAATGAAATCGCCGAAAAGATCGTCCGTCATCTTTGCTGAACTTCATGTTATCTTCTTTCTAATGTCTTTATGGGTGTTTTCCACGATTTGAAAAATAAGTTTACACAGTGTGCACAATTTTCAGCCTACTTTATTGCAGAATGTTTTCTCTTCCCCCAGGAGTTTCAAGTAAAAAACAGCCATCTGCAGTACATCATGTGACTTACTGATGTTAGACCTGAAAAATGAAATAATCCACTGCGGTATGTTTTTCCTTTGATCTCACAGAAATGCTCAACGATAGACCGCTAACCAATTAAAAATATACACGAGTACAACATTTGGAGACTCATTCGGAGTACAATTACCAGACATATTGTTGATACCGGACATCTCGTAGAGATTTCTAAGTTCTTCAAATTATAAAAAATAGACAAAGGACAACAAATTTACTACGATTTGCTGAAACGATCGCAATCAGACGATTTAAATCAACCAGACTTATATATACAGAAAAAGAGTGTGTGTGTGGCTAACCTCTCACTCCCTTGGTAACTGAATTTTGATTTTGATTACATTAATTAATTAGTCATCTAATTCAGTGATCTCAACTCATCACTGAACAAATCTTGATCTCATAAACTGTAACCGCTTTTGGTTTTTTCTTTTTTGAGTTGCTATGTGAACAAGCTACAAGCAAACACTGTTCTGTTGATTATTCTTTTCCAGTTTCTGTCTTACCCCTCCCCTCTCTTTTCAACTTTAAAAGCGTATAAATTGATGATGACAACTTAAACTAAAAATTGTGATGCTTACATTTTGGATGCTTTAATTTTATAGTTTGATTTTTTTTGATTTTTTTGATTTACAGCTTGATTCTACACTGTATT